AAATAAGCAAAGAAAATACTATTGGATATCATAAATATGAAAGAAGAAAAAAATTTTTTATACAAGCAAAATGCGTTACTCTCGAAGAAACTATACTACAAAGTCTCTCTTATCTTTTATGCAGTTCAAATAATCATTTAACCAAATTTTAAACTTGGAACAACAAGACTTTCATCAAGACATCGATAATAGATTCGCATGTTAAATGTGTAGATCCCGGCAATAAATAAAACAAAAAAAAATAATGAAAAAACCCTCGTAAATTAATACCATTTACTCTAATGCGATCGATCTCTTCGACTCGGGGACATTATCCGATTCCAGCGTCACGGAAAATCTGTATCTCCTATTCTTTTTTTTTTTTTTTTACTCCAACATTGTCCGTGACATGTGTGACAGGAAGTGGATATTCCCCGGGTCCACCAAAAGGAAAAGAGAGAGAAAGGCAAGCCGATCATCTCAAATTACAAAGAGTGTGTATGTTATATACCCTCTCTCACCCACGCGCGGAAGCGCGCAACGATGTACATGTGCATCGGAAACGGATTTGTTGCTGCCTCCCACCTGTTCCCAGCTAATGCCCCGGGAAATGGCCTCGTGTTCTCGCCATCCAACCCAACCCCTCCCCGTGCTTTTTGACGTCCAGCGCGTATCAACGAGAATTCCCTACAGTGTACGTATATATACCTACTCCGGCTTTTCGAGCTCACTCGGCCGAAGCATTATGACGAGAGCCTTTTTTTTGGCGCGCGCATAGCGGGTAACGCTGAGCTCGAATGCTCGGTTGGAAATTTAATCGCTCGGCAAATGGGCAATGGTTGAATACTCGGGGATGGGATGCATTGATGCAGGCTCGCCGGAAGACTTTATTTTTATTTTTTTTTTTTTCCTTCGCGGCCCTCTTATTTCCTCAATCACGTGGAACGAACACTTTCAGCGGATTAATGACATCGATCGGATTGGCCCTCGTATTCATGAGATTCTGTTTCGGCCCATCAAGAGCTACTGCGTACTCGATTATTCCTGAATCTCTGGATTCAAGATTTCATTCGCGTGCATCTCTCTCTCCGTCCAAGGGAGTCTTTATAATTGAGCTCCAATGGGATGAGGAGTCTCTCGATGCTTTTGCAGAGGCCAACTTCTTTCTTACAGGCTCGGGCTCATCTCGGAAACTCATTAGCCCTTGTACATTTCTCGAATCCGCGAGCTGCGATTGATTGCATTAATCAGGAGACGCGGAACCAAGTGGAAAAAGCGACGAAGCGGAAAGTACGCTAAAAGTGAGGGGGGGGGAAGATGAGTGGTAACGATATTGCGTGACAGTGCCCCTCTGAATATTCAGGGCGCGAGAGCTGTTGCTGCAGCAGCGAGGCTACGGGCCTTCCCTGCTCTCTCTCGCTCGGTCGAAAAGTTGGCAGCTTTATCTCGGCATTGCTCGAAAATTTATTCATATATAATGAGCTTTTGAATAATGAACGAGCTTAACCCCTTGTTCCGGACGAGCCTAGTACCTCTCTTTCTGCAGCCAAGCGCTGACGTGACTGCAGAAGCGAGAGGGAGGAGAAATGTTTTTTTCTTCCGCCCTGCGTTGCTGCAAGAGAGAGAGAGAGAGAGAGAGAGAGAGAGAGAGAATAAGGGAGGTGGGAAAGAGCGACGCAAAAGCGAGCTGGACAGGAAACGAGGATGAAAGTTTTTTGGGAAAGAGCGAGACAGAGAGATAGAGTGGCTGGGCTTTCCTGCCTGCTTTGGTGTACATGAATACTGAATTTTTCGTCAAATTTTACGTGTAAGATTTTTAGTTTGTTTTTATTCTTGAATTTTTTCATTTGGACGTCGCTCGAGCTTGCAAGCTCACTTGATCGATTGTTGCTACTCTTTTGCTCCGGAGCAGAGAAAAAACTAGACGTGACTATACTGCTATTTTTACTTAGTATGAAAGCACGATGTGATGTGGGGATGATTCTATGAAAACAGTTCAATTAAATAAATGGTGAATATTCTTATGACGAGCTACATGTTGAAATTTAAGCCTACCTTTATATGTATATACAATATTCGACTTTGGGTCCAATACTCATACATGAACTTTTTTCTCACTTTTATTGTCATTATTACTACGAAAAATAATTATTTGCGTTGTTGAGATTTCAAGGAACGTAATTCAACACGGAGTATTAATAAAATTCACGATTGATTTCAACGATTCTACAATCAAAGATTCAGCGTTGATTCAGTGCTGATTAAATATGAACTCATTGTTTTTTGATACCAACGTTAAACTGTTGGATAGAAGTAAGTTAATTATGAAACTATTTCCGTGATTACCTATGGGTCTTATTTCACCAAAGTCTCACACTACATTTTTGTGTTCATATAATGCCCGATCCTATTCATCTTGACTTTATTCTTATACATTTTTGCCCTTACTGTGAAACGGTTCCTTTTGACGTTTCACCACTATTAAACAATTCTTTTTTCTGTGCTTTCATACATTTTACGTGCCTTCTGTTCATTTGCTCACTTTTCACCACCTTCATTACCTTGGCACCAACGTTCCAAAGTTGCTTCTAAGTTGTTACCTATGAGACACCTGACGAGATGATTTGAAAAGTTTTGAGAACATGTCAGGAAAAATCCACACCAAAACAGCCAGAGCCAAGGTCACTTATCCCGGTAAAAACAGGATAGAAAAAAACATCCGAGCGTTTTGACCAAGCCTCTCTGACAGTGTTGCTTCATCAATCAATGCCGTGCCAACGACTATTGAAATTCAAAAGCTATTCACATAAACTGAAATTAATACTTTTTACATGCCGATGATTAAAACATAAGTACATGGACTTTAATCCAAAACGTTTGAAAAACATTATTAGTACGAGATCTCATAACTCGAATACCATTAACTAGATGCAAATGCGGTACATTTCCCGATACAAATAAATGCTTAAATATAAATACACCTATACTACCCGACAATTGCACTTTACCAACTCGATAATTAATTGACCGTCCCGACATAATAATCAAGTTAACCCAAGATCGTTTATAAGGGCATTCACTTCTTCGCTCTGAACCTATCATTCCACCTTCTACTCACCACATATAATTTGAGAACACAGCGAAATCGATGAATCGCACATAACGTCGTCGTAAATATTTTGAAATAGACGTGTATGAGAAATGTTCCTTAAATTTTTAGTGCCGCACAGCAAGTAGCCACTAAACAATTCCTGATTGGAAAAAAAATCGCTGTAAACCCCGTTAGGATAATGAAAAAAAAAAAATAAAAAAGGAAAAAGTTAATATACCAGCGGAAAAGGTGAGCTTAAACGAGCTCAGGGCTGTTGTCCATCAACGGTTTATTCATAAGGACACCGTACAGGTGGAGCCGAGCTGTAATTATAATTTATGTTACGGCATCGGGCGTCACATCGGCCGTCATTGGTCGTGGAAAAGCGCTCAGGATTATGGGTCTACGGAAAAAAAGGGTTAACCAGAGTGAGGGAGTTAGTTTACAAGACACGAGTACCAGCCGAGGGACGGTTTTCGATTAACTCGATGCTACGGAGAACCGAGGCGGCAGGGAAAAATAAACCTCTTGTTTCCAACGCGAAATGAAGCCTCGGCTGATCGAAATCGATTTCCACTGCTGTCTCGTGCGAGGGTGGAAGCGAGAAACGAGGTGCACACGCGAAAGAAAGAAGCGGGGTAATGGCAAAGATAAACCTGGCAGGGACGCATTAGCCTGCATCGGCGGTTTTTCCTTGGCCAGGGGGCTGTCTGTCATTCAGTCGGGGGGAAAGGACAGGGGCTTCGTTCATTATGCAACGACCAACGCGCCGTCACCTGCTCTCTCCTCTCTTTCGTTTCTGTCTATAGGCCGCGTGTGAGCGAAAGACAGCCGCACAAGGAATCAAGTCGAGAGGTATTTGGATACCGATGAGCTGATACTTCTTGGGATGTGTATTTTTTTTTTTTTTGGCCCAGGAATAGTAGGGACTTTCTTACTTTTGCAATACTTTTGGATGCTTTGTACAGCTGCAGAAAATGAGTAACTGAGGTGTTGTCACTTGGACTAAAGATTATTTATAGTCACTATATTAGTAAACACATTTCTTTTCTAACAATGCACCTTTCACAGATTATCCTCAAGACTTCTACCAAAGGTTGAGTACAAGCCAATCGTGTTATGGTATCTTCATAAAATCCTTTTTTATTTAAAATGGCAATTGTATATAGAATTGAGAAAACGTGTTGATAAGTTGGTGCCTCCAAATTTTGTTTACAAATTTTTTTCAAACTGAGAGATACTTGAATGCCAAAAACTTTGCATAAGTTGGACGTAGTTTTCTATTGGGCCTCTAGATAGTAAGACTTTTCTTTGTTTTTGCGAAAACTCCTAATTGGATGATGGTCCTTTATAAAGTCTCGTACATAGCACAGACCGGACGATTAGGAAAATCAAAAGACCAATATGTTAGCACTCCTTGAACTAAACATTTTTTAGAAATGTATTAGAGCTTCGTATACAGATTCGTTTTCTTGGCTTAAAAACTTTTTAGATCAATTACGATCCAGAGTTTCATCCCTCTAAGTATAATGACAAATTCCCATTAAATACCATCAATTCACTTTATTCATATTAAATCATAATACCTGCTTTTCTAAAATCAATAACATCGCAATGTATTTCGCAAAGTTACTCATCGTGTACTTTGCAACACTGGAAATAGAGCAATTCCAATTTCCAAGATAACGCAAGCAGATAACACAACAGAAGCCGCTGGACATTATTAGGCGAAACAACTGTCACGTTCGTAAATTATTTGCCACCTCGTGCGACAGTTGCGCGCACTTTCGCCATTCGCACTCAGTCCACCATCGGCTTACGAGTTTTAGCTCACTTTTTTTCTCCTAAACAAAAAACTATTTGTCAAAAATAAAAATTAAGCTTTTGTTTTTTCACGAACAAATCCCACAACGGCCCTTCCATTACGAGGATGGACAACTCAGCGCTTCTTCTGAACGGCTTGCGCATCAAGTGCGAGAATCTGTTAAAAATGTGTAAGTTACGAAATACCATTATATCATATTACAACTATGCCGACTTACAATGAATTTCCCCGTGGCGTACCTCATCGAGTAAAGATGTTGAAGCGAACAACACCTGCCGAGCGAATTTCGATGGAAGCTATTGTTGGCCCGCGACGCCTCGCGAAACCATGGTGCGATTGACGTGTCCCATTCCCGAATTGGCCAACTCGACGATAACCAGATGGTGCTCGGCTGGTGTAAGCGAAATCACCAGTGACAACAAAACCATCCACGAGTGGGACGAAGCAAATACTAGCGACTGCTCCCTGGCATTTAACTACAGCTCCATGCAAAGTATCTTGACTTACGACTCGAACATGGAGACTGCCCCTTACGTACGTATACGATCTCTCGTCGGTGGTATTTTGATACTGGAGACATGTATTGTTGGACACGACTGCTTTGCAAAAATATTTTTATGCTTTCGAAAACTAGTATCCTGATCGTTACGAAAATGTTTACCGATTTTGCTGTACCTTAATGTTTGCAGAAAATCTTAATGGTAATGTTTCCTCCAGGGAAAGATCACTGCTTTAAAAATTATTTTCTTTGATCGTTATTTCGACCTTTGGCACTTTGGATTTGTATGTGATTAAAAATAATTGATGACCTTGCAGCTTCACCATTTTTTTTTTTATATGTTAAATTTATCTC